AAGGGGAAAATGTGTTAATGGGTCTTTTGTTTGACATCATTTATTCTCCCTCTTTCTGATATCTTTCCTCTTTCTTCTCTTTTCTCTATCAAGGAAATATGGACAGGATTGGAGACATACCATTTAACTAAATCAGTTTGTGTTCTAGAACTTAATTGAAAATAAATTAATTTTCAAGAATTATATTCATGAATATTATATTAATAATGTATATCTCTCCTTAGCCCCTTCATGCTTCTATCTACTCCATTTCAAATTTATAACATATTTTCATCAATTATTGTTGATACATGTATGCACACCATTCTCTCTCTCTCTCTCTCTCTCTCTCTCTCTCTCTCTCTCTCTCTCTCTCACTATCTGTCTCACATACACACCCCCCAACACACACACTGTGCAAAGATAGGATCTACATATGAGAACATGAGGAACATTTATGTACCACTTGGGATTTCTCAATAATCGAATGTTCTGTCAGTACATTTAATGAAGATGATTGCTATGGTAGTACTTCAAGGACATCAAAAGCATAAGTGTTTCTGTTTTAGCTTGGGTTAACCTCACTTTTTTTCCATAATCGGGACTGAGGGCATGAACAGAAGGATCCACCATGATCTGCTTACTCCCCTGTAAATGGGGGAAGAGAATGAGTAGAGACCACACATAAGGCCTTCTACAATGACAGCAATGACAGGTGTGAGAATGAAAAACTTGACTTGGATGAATGAAAGGAGAGTTGACAATATGCAGTTAGCTTACCTGTTTCCCTGGCTAGAGGGGACTGATTGTTCTCATGAAGTGACAGCTAGAGTTGAGGTTTGGGATAAAGCAATGAGTAGGGGAAGGGAAGTTAGGAGAGGAAATTCTGTGTGATTCACTGGAGATGGGGGAAGAGGATGAAGGAAGGCCTCAGCAGCGATTCTACTGAAGATCTAGGGATGAGACTCAGGGATTATATTTGGAGAAGCAGAAGGAGATACAAAGATGTGCCATTAGGCTGTTGGCTTTACTGGTTGGAGTCTCCCATGAATATATCAGTGAAATTCTTCTTAGCAGCTGAAAATAAAACAAAACAAAAACAAAAAACTTTAATTTTATGTGAAAATAAAAAAAATGAGAGGAGAAAAAAACCTTGAGTGGGAAAAACAAATCTTTTGAATGTATGTTATAATACAAGGTTTTAAGTTATACTACAGCCTACAGTATTAAAACAACTATGGGAACATCATAAAACAGATTCATTGATTAATATAAGAAAATTGGTTGCACACACATAAACTCACATGTTTACATCAGTCTTATTTTTGACAAAGAGACTAGCAATATATACTTAGAAAATCCCCAGCAACTTCAAAAATTGGTATTGCTAAAATTAGAGAGATGCATGTAGAATAATGAAACTCTGTCCTAATCACTCATATCACACAAAATGTTACTTGAAATGGATCAAGGATCTCAACCTAATATTTGATACCCTGAGCCTAACAAAGTGAAGATTAGGAAATATGCTTGAAATCATGTTATCAGAAAGGACTTTGTGAGCAAGATCCAGATGGAAAATTCAAAGGATCAAAAATGACAAATAAGAACACATGAAAATAATTGTTCCTATACCACATAGGACATCATTATTCAAACGAGAAGATCAACTACAGAACGAGTAAAAAATAAATCTTCAAGTTTTATGCATCTGACAGAGGGTCAGTTTCTAGAATTTGTAAGAAACTCTAAGTAGTAAATATCAAAAAAAAGGAAAGACAGAGAGAATAAACTCAATTGCAAAATAAGGCCATGAAACAGAAGAAGGTGGCCTCTCAAAATGAAACACAATTACACAAAGGGAAGACAAATATTTTTTAAATGTTCATCATTCTTAACCATCAGGAAAGTACAAACTAATATCACATTGAAATTTTATCTTACTAAACTCTGAGTGCATAAGACCAAGGAAAAATCCACAAAACTGAAAACAAATACTCACAATTACCAGTATGGCCGGGCGGTGGTGGTTCACGCCTTTAATCCCAGCACTCGGGAGGCAGAGGCAGGCGGATCTCTGTGAGCTTGAGACCAGCCTGGTCTACAAGAGCTAGTTCCAGGACAGGCTCCAAGACCACAGAGAAACCCTGTCTCGAAAAACCAAAAAAAAAAAAAAATTACCAGTATGGAATACAGAGAAAGTAAAGCAGTTATGAACTGCTGGTAGATACAATCTAATGTAGCTACTATGGAAATCATGGTGGATGTTCTTTAATACTCTAAATAAACATTCACTATATGATCAAAAGCATGGAGGTGCACCCTTTTAATTCCAACATTCAGAAGTGTATTCTGAGGCAGGCAGATTTTTGTGAGCTTGAGGTCAGCCTGGTCTATGCAGTAAGTTCCACAACATCCAGGGCTACAAAGAGATACCCACTCTCTAAAAAGCATGCATAAATGAATTAAGATAAAAATCTAAGTAAATATCTACTACATTATCCAGCTATTCTATTCTTGTGCATATACCCCAAAAACTATATGTTATTAAAGAGATAACTCTTCATGCATGCTATTGGATATTCTATTCACAATAGCTAAAGAATGTAAACCTCGAGTACATCCAAGACTTATGAATGGATAATGAAAATGTGCTATATTTACACAATAAAATAAGTTAAAATATAACTTCTAGGTAAAGTGATGATCTTGAAATGATCACTCTAAATGAGTTAACCCAGATCCAGAAATATAAAGGTCGCATGTATTCTCTCTTTTCTACATGTTAGCTTTGAACTTCAGGTACATATGTTTTTCTTTTTTAACACACAGAGTGGTCAAATAATTAGTAAGAGACTGTAGGAGTGTCTTTCAGGGGTCTCTTAAAAGCTGAAAGAAAATCTCAAAAGGGAATAGTGGAATAGGAAGGGTCAAATTGGGGTAGCAGGTTGGAGGGTACCATAGCAAAGAAAACCATGAGTAAAGATAAATATTTATGAAGACAGAGAGTCAAAGATTATGGAGATGTTGTACTGGCACCAAACCAAAGACCTCAACCCTGTCTAGTCACAGTTTCTTAGAAAAACAATTTTGCCAAGTATGGGTTCCAACTGTGGAACAACACTTAAATGTAGTCAGAAAGTGGTTTGTAATTTCCACAATGTTTGTATCATTATTGCATCAGTGTGCATTTCCTTTTATACAAGTCATTATTATATTTTGCAGGGATCCTAGTTTTTTCCATCTAACAGGGCAAATAGCATCTTCTAGCCCTGCAAAACCTAGTTATTAAGGTTGACAATTTTGTGTTCTACAAGATGGATATACTATTCTGCTATATGGATATAATATAAAAATGACTTCTAATGTCTTATACCTAGAGACTAAGTCATAACTCAACCCCTACCAGAGAACATTCCGTTTGCTCTATTGGCAGTAAATAATGATTAACATAGAGGTCCACAGTGGCAACGAGCAAGATTGAGTGAATGAATACAATTAGAGCAGCTAGGGGCTGTTCCCAAGAGGCTGTCCTATAGCAGAGGACTTGGGGACTAGCACTTGGTGTCCAGCCTAGGTAACAGAATGCACTTGTGTGCTCACAAATCCTGCAGGTTGAGCAGCATCGGCAGTGTTCAAGACACTTCTCCTCACAGCTCATGCTGTGCCATAGCTTAGTTCCAGAGCAAGCAGGCACATCAGAATATATGCGCGGAGACTGGGTCTGAGAGCTGTCAGGTCAGTTCTGTTTCTTACAGCATGCTGCAGTACATGGAAACTGTGCATACACACACATGGGTATGTGTGTGTGCGTGTGTGTGTGCGCGCGCGTGTGTGTGTGTAAATATTACTGCCTGAGCTATGGAAAGGAAGGTAATACTAACAGGTAATACATATTAAATTTAATAAAACGTCAGTCAGAATATGAGTTCTACTGGGGCAGGAGCTGTCCACATTCTTCTTGCTGTCTGCGCCTCTAGGTAGTACATGTTTAAGTGGATAAAATTTCTAAATACTTGTTCAGTTATTCCTTCAGGTTTGCATAAGTGTCAAGGCAGGAAATGCAAACCAGTCATCTGCTGTGCTGTAGGTGGTTCATATCCATGTGTAAATATCCCTTTCATATTAGGCAGCCACACTGGAGGCCAAGGATTTGTCTATGCTCCTACCCCTACACCTCTCAGGCCCTTGCATATGCTAGGCTAAGCCTACCACTGTGCAGCTGCACCCCAACCCTGGAGCACAGTGCTCAGGCCAGAGAGCTAGAAAGGGAACAGGCCGGAATGGACAGTGGTTAATCATGTCGGTTCAGTTTAGGTATATTAGACAACTGTGATTTCAGAGTGTGTTTATCTTCATATTTCTGCTAAGATGGGTCTTTGAAAATGTTTCATTCTGCTTTTGTTTTTAATGCAAATCAAAGAATTTTAAAGACTTCCTGTCCATATATGTCTTAGTTAGGGTTTCTATTGCTGTGAAGACACCATGGCCATGGCAACTCTTTTAAAGTAAAACATTTACTTGTGGTGGCTCGCTTGTAGTTTCAGAGGTTCAGTCCATTATCATCATGGGGGGAACATGGCAGTGTGCAGAGTCCTACATCTTGCAGGCAACAGGAAGTTGACTAACACACTGGCTGGTATTCTGAACATAGGAATCCTCAAAGCCCACCTGCACAGTGACATACTTCCGCCAACAAGGCTATACCCTTTCCAACAAAGCCACACCCCTAAGAGTCCTGACAAGATTATGGGGGCCAATTATATTTAGGCTACCACAGCATAGTGGGGTGGGGAGGGGACACATACTTTTAGTATTTAAACATAGTTCCCAAAGAAGAAAGCATCTGTGAGCATGCTGCCGACTGCTAATGTCTTCAGGATTTCTTTGTAAATTGGGCACCAAAGACACGATCCGTGTGTTTAGGTCACTTCAGTTCCTATTGCTACTGCTGTGACTGTTGGACTCCTTTTTATTTTGGAGCAGGCTCTGTGAACAGATGTCCCATCTATATCTAAAGACGAGTGCTGGCCCATCGTGGGTCAGTTTTCAAGCATTGGTTCTCTGGGGCCTGATGAGTCCAAGTGGCTGTGCTCAGAGTTTAAAGAGAGCTTGCTGGCACAGAGAGAAGATGGCGGAACTCCAGGGAAAAGTGCAGCTCTTCTTCATCTGGTGAGCCCTCTGTGGTCCAAAAGAACTGAGAAGCAGCCTTCCTTATCACAGTGCGTTAATCTGTGGGTGGAGAGGGAACACGATCTGTGGGCCTGGTGCCTGGTGTGGGAGTGATTTCTTATTAATAAAGAAACTGCCTAGGCCCATTTGATAGGCCAACCCTTAGGTAGACAGAGATAACAGAACAGGATTCTGGGAGAAAGAAGCTGAGTCGAGTCGTCACCATGATTCTCCCGCTCCAGACAGACGCAGGTTAAGATCCTCCCTGGTAAGCCAGCTCGTGGGCTACACAGAATAATAGAAATGGGTTAGAACAATATGTAAGAGCTAGCCAATAAGCAGCTGGAACCAGCCGGGCCAGGCAGTGTTTAATAGAATTCAGTTTCCGTGTAATTATTTCGGGCATAAGCTAGCCAAGCGGGCGGCCGGGTGCCAGGGACGCAGCCCTGCCGCCGCTCCTACTTCAACAGGTGCCACCCAGGCGAGGCCTTCTGGCCAGTTCAGGAGCCTCGGTGCAGACACGGACTCACTGTGTTTTCCTCATTCTTCTTTCAAGTTGTGGAGCCAAGGGGAGAAATGCCGGGCTTACCACTGCAGAAGAATTATATGCTCTGTTCGTTGTGTAGAGACCTGTGAATTGATGATTAATTTTACATTCAATTCAATATTAATTTGTCATTTCAGAGAGAAAAACATTTAAATTAAAATATAATTTTTCATCAGTTAGATACATGCTTCCTGTAGATTAGTTATTACCCATTTAGTTTTCTAGTAAGATGGGAATTTTCTTTTAATTTAAGATACATTTTCTTTCTAATTTTTAAAAAAGAACTAGCCAACATTCCTTTCTTTCAACCTGATTCATGCCAAGTTTCATTGTTTTTCTCTTCTCTTGGTTATTTTTAGATCTAACCTTCTGTGGAAAACGTGCGGACCAGCTTAGAAGGATATCCTGGTAACTCAGTTGTGGTTTTTCTGTATATTCTCACATGCCTTGGGGCATGTTTTGTTTTGTTTATTTTTCATCAGAGTTGGTTAGCAATGTGGACATGGTTTTCCCGTATCCAGATG